TCCAGTATGACCTCATCTTAATGTAAGTAATCTGCAACTACCCTATTTCCAAATTAGATCACATTCTAGAGTACTGAGGGTTAGGATTCCAATGCATTTTGTGGGAAGGGGGGTGGAAATAATTCAACCCATAACAGCTAGGAGAAAAGTGTAGACTATCTTTATGACTTTGGAGTGAATAAAGATTCTTAAGCCTAGAAAACCATAAACTATATAGTGAAAATGAGATGAACATGACATATTAAAATTAAAGGTTTATCCCAAACAAAGACATAACTGAAAAAGTTAAGTAATGAGTGAAAAACTGGGAGAAGATATTTTTGGCTTCCAAAAAAAAGTGATTAATTTCCAGAATAAACAAAATCCTGCAAATATTTAAGAATGGAAAATCAATAGAAAAAAATGGGCGAAAAATAGAATGGGCAACTAACACAAAAGAAAATCCAAATGGCTAACAAGTCTGAAGAGATGTTCAACCTCATTCATAATCAGGAAATTACAACATGTTAGTTTAAATCTATCAGAGTAGCCAAATTTAGACGCTCAGAGAGGAAAAAAAATAAAGTAAAAATAAATAAATAAATAAAATAGAAGCTCAGAAAGGAACTAGTGCTAGTGAAGATGTGTGGAATTTGGAACTATCCTGCACCTCCAGTTGGTATAATTCAGTATGTATATTCTATGATCCAGCAATCCCAATCTTAGGTGTATAATCCAGAAAAACTCTTGCACAAGTCCCAAAGGATACAAGTACAAGATTGTTGATTGAAATATTATTTGTAGTAGCAAAGAATTCAAGGCAATGTAGATCTTCATTAGTCGGTGAATAATTAAGGATGGTGAGTTAATAAACTGGACAGCTATGCAGCAATCAGAAGCAATGAACCAGGGGTGCCTGGCTGGCTCAGTTTGTGGAGTGTGCAACTCTTGATCTCAGAGTTTTGAGTTTGAGCCCCAAGTTGGGTGTAAAGATTACTTAAAAATAAACAAAAATTTTTTAAAAAGGAGCAGTGAACCAGACATATAAACAACAACATGGAATGTTCTTAAAACAATATTGAGTGGGGCACCTAAGTGGCTCAGCCAGTTAAGTGTCCGACTATTGATTTCGGCTCAGGCCATGATCCCAGCATCTTGAGATTGAGCCCCGCCTTAGGCTCCATGCTCAGCAAGGAGTCGGCTTGAGATTATCTCTCTCTCTCTGCCTCTTCCCCACAGTGCATGCACATACGCACGCTCTCTCTCTCTAAAATAAATAAACAAATCTTTTTTAAAAAACAATATTGAGCGAAAAAAAGAGTAACAATAGAAATTCACTTAATACCATTTTTGTAAATTAAAAACATATAAAGCCCTATACATCTTTTAGGAATATAGGCATATTCCAAGAACCATAAATTAAACACATTAGAAAATGTGTCTATGAGGTGGAGGAAGAGATAAAAGTGGGAAGGGAGATATGAGAGAAAAGAAATGACATAAAAAATATTTTTACACAAGTTACTGCTAATAGTGTGTCAGAAATAAAACAGTATGATAAAATCAGTTCTCAGAAAAAGAAAAGAATGAATGAATGAGAAATGTTTCTAAGAAAAGGAAGCAATACAAACAAAAATCATAAGGAAGGACAGCAAAGGATATTTCATACTGATGAAAGGAGTAATTCACTGATGTCATGTTAATATCATAAATCTTCATGCACCTAACAACATAACTTTAAAATATATTAAGCAAAAACTGGTACAGCTAAATGGAGAAATTGACATATCCTCCCTAATAATGGGAGAGATTATTATACTTTCCAGAAGCCAACAGATCAAACAGAAAAAAAAGTAAGGATGTAGTAGATAAGAATTAGAGAATTAATAAACCTGTATAGTCAGATCTCTGATCCCAACAATCAAAATGCACATCCTTTAAAAACATACAGAACACTTCCAAAACAAAACAAAAAACCCACATTATATCACAGGCCATTCCAGATTGCAGAATAAGGTAGACGGTTCCCCCAAATCATAGAACAGGGCTATCATTTCCCTAATGTCAAAACTGGGTGAGGAGAGCACAAGAAAGAAAACCAAGGGCCAATTCCATTCTGAAAACAAATGCAAAACAACCCTAAATCAAATATTATTAGAAGGCTGGCACAAGACAAGGATTGGTCATTATCACCACGATCGGTAACATTGTATTGGAACTCTTAGCCAAAGGGGAAGAGGGGTGAGCAATGAGTTATAAAGAGTGGAAAGACTAAACTGTCATTTTGTTACAGCAACAGGATCATCTAGCCAGTAAAGCATGGAGAATTAAAACAAGTAAGAGTGAGTTCAACAAGGTAGCCAGATCCAAGATTAGTAATAAAAACACAACAGCAGTAACTGATCAGAAGAAAAAAATCCAAGTCATAAATAAATAAGTAAAAACAGTAAGGTCCCAGTGAGTGAACCAGAGAAAACATGTACAAGATACCCAGGAGAAAATTATACCTGTATCCAAGACAGAAGACTCAATATTACAAAATCATAAATTCTCCCCAAATGAGTAACTTATTCATTACAATCCCAATCAAAATCCAAAGCATTTGTTATGGAACTGACAAGTTCCATCCCACTCCCCATTCCCCTCTGTAGGACCCACCAGGTTTAGAATCAAGCCAGGTCCCTTTGCTCACCCAAGTCCTGACAGCCACTTGGAAACCACCTGTTCTGCTGCTCACCTGCCTCTCTCTGATTTGAGTCAACCCATAAGCAATTGGTAAACAGAGTAAAAATGTCGGCATAACACAAGCATGTTGGTTAATATCATTTTTTTTTCCAGGAAGTTAATATTTTGAAGCAATCAGGGGCAAGCTTTCTCACAGTTAAAGGGGAAGCCTTAGTGATCAAAGAAGATCTTCACACACAAAAAGCTGCAAATCTGCAGAAGTCTCTTCCTTCAGATCCACAGTGGCTCCTTTTGGTGGTTTAAAGACCATAATGCTTGCTGCAAAGCTATGGTACGTGGCCAAGCTGTGAATGCCAATGAAGAAACTACAGTGATATTTTCTCATATCAAAATGACAGATTAATGAAGACAACCCTTAAATCAGACTTCTAATTTTGATGGAAATGGTCTCCGTTAGAAATTAATATCTCCAGACCAGCATCTCCAAAAAGGAAGCACAAGCCCCAGCCTTTAAAGGTTGCAAAGAAGGGACTGAAGGTGTTGCTAAACACGAATATCCGTGGAAATTTAACTGTGCTAGTATTTCTATTAGAATCCTTATTGGTTTTGTAGCTCTCTGATTATAAAGTTTCATACGTTTTGAACAATCTGTCCCTAGTTTTATTTTTCCTATAAAGCCTTGTTATTTTTAGCACACTGTTTTGTAGAACTCCAAGCTTTTTCAGGAATGCATATATCAGTTATGGCAAAACCGCCTATACTCAGAATAAGGGGAGACTGTCTTCCAACAAGCATTCTTGGTAGGTCCTAAGTTTCCCTGACATGTAACCAGGAGACCAGGTATCCACTTCCTTCTCAGAGTGGAACAACTTCCCAGGAGCTGGGGCGGGGTGAAGTTTGGGGGGTAGTTCTCTGGAGCTTGGGAACCAGAGCCCATCATAGGTCCTCTCTTCTCTCCTCCCTCCAGACCTCCGGACCACTCAGGAGAAGCCAGTGAAAAGGCCCAGAATTTTGCCGCTTACAAGCTCACTGATCTTGGGCCAGTCACTGAAATTCTGCAGGACTCAGTTTCCTCATTCTTTAAATGGGAAGGCAGTGTTTTTTAAAAATCATGTTTAGGGCGCCTGGGTGGCTCAGTTGGTTGGGCGACTGCCTTCCGCTCAGGTCATGATCCTGGAGTCCCGGGATCGAGTCCCGCATCGGGCTCCCTGCTC